ACTTCAAGTGTTGCTTGTACTTATGAGTCAGATTTGCAATAAACAGGCGAACCATCTCTTTCTCCTTGGGAGGATCCACCAAGAGCGCAGCTGTTTCTCTCCATCTGCTTAGATAAGTAGTGAAGCCTTCATTCTCCTTCTGTTTGAGAATGGAGAGTTCACTTTCAGAAGTCTTGGCTTGGATGTTACACTTGTAACGATTCATAAAGTTTTCAGTAACGTCCTCCTAGGTCGCAACATGTTTAGATTCCAGAGAGTAGAACCACTGTTGACAGGCATTGTAATACCCCGTATTTTCATACGTATTTTCCTAATTAATTAATTTATTATTATTTTCTAAAAAGTGTCTTTTAGTAATTTAACTTACTATTTAAATCTTGGAGCCAAAATGATATTTGAATATTGGCACCAAAAGTATTTTAAAAACAAATTATTATTTTAGATAAGATTTATTATCTATTTATTTTATTTTAAAAACCGGATTATTTATATATTTCGGATATTTTAATTAAGGCAAAAGCTATATTTTATTATTATTTTAATAAGTTCGAAAATCCCATTTATTTGACTAATAAATTTCGGATTTTCCTATATGAAAATCTGATTTTATTAGTTAAATTATTTGGTGAATATTTGGTATTTTATTATTTAATTATTTATTACAATAAATATTATTTACACAATTACTTTAATTCCTTAAAACTAGCAAAATAATTTCCTAAATACTAAATATGAGGGACGAAAATATAAGCTTAGGAAAGCTCAAAAATTTCGGCCATCCCATGTAGATTTTGGGAAAAATATTTTGGTAATTTGTATTTTTAATTATCTCCTTAAAATCTCCTATTTTCCTTAATTCTAATTCTCCATCTTTTTAATATCCAATCATTATATTTTCTTGCCATTCATTCTTCTTAATTATTCAACAAGTAATTCCAATTTCCTTAATATTTTTCATGACATACATACCTTTCATATTCAATTATACACAATCTTCTCAATATTAAAACTTTCCTTAAATCTTTACTCACTTCTCCAAGTAATCCCTTAAACCCTAATCACCATAATTCTTCCTACATTTTCCTACCCTAATTTTTTCATGAGCAAGCCTATAAACACCCCTTCATACCTCTCACATTCTTCACACCAATTCTCTTCTTTTCTTCTCCTTAATTTTACACAAATTATCCCGTTTATGTTTGAAGCCAATTTTTCGGGAACTTCTGTTCAGTTTTGGGGTATTGACGTTACACAAAAAATTGTTCCTCTCGAACAATCCTTAAGGTTAGGCTCAAGAATCACCCAATTTGGAGTTATAACAAAGAAGTTATGGCCTCTGCAAGCTCTGCCTCCTTTTTCCAATGCAAATCCAATTCTTCTTTCTCCTTGGTTTCTTATCTTTCTTCTCCTTTTCTCTTATTCAATTTTTATTATTATTATGGGAGATTAATATAAAATTATTATGAGTAGTTTTAATTATATAAAATCAGATTTTAATGATGTTAATGTGAAATTAATTTAAAAGGTTCATGTACATATAGTTGGGAGGGTTTAATTTAATTGTTTCGGATTATATGATAACCTTATATTAATTAAGGATATATTTATTTGTATGGTGTTTTTTATCAAGCTACATGAGAGTTCTTTTGAAGTGTTTTTTGGCTAAACAAGGATCAAGGTACGTTAGGTGGCTAGATACCTTGAAAGCGGTCGATTTGAATGAACATGTTTGAATGATTTATGTTGCTTGAATTAAATTGACTTGAATTATGGTTTATGAAATAAAAGTATGTTAAAAGGATTGGTTTTAATAATTGAATTGGAGTATTGATTTTTATAACATGTTTTGATTAACTATTTATTATTCGTGTTTAAAAAGGAATGATTTTAAAAGCATGTTGAATTTATTAAAAAGGAGTTTAGATTGTTTTCATTAAAGGTTGAATTATTGGATTTAAAAGAGGATTTATTGAATCATTGAATTATTATTATTATTATTATTATTAATGCCTTATAAGCATGTTAGTAATCCCACTATGCGGATTTGGTTTATTGATAAGGCCTTGGAATTTGTATGACCGGGTCTTTCCTCAAGAATAGCCTTGTAACATAAGGAGACTAGCTTGGGGGGTGTGCACACTTGGGAGAGGAATTGGTTTCATTGGTTTTATTGGTTTATTATGAGGAATTAGTTTTTATAATATGTGGAATTGGTTTTAAAATAATTGGAATTGGTTTTATTAATTATTGAGATTGGAATATTGAGAATTTGGTTTTGAATCATGAGTTTGGAATTATTGGATTGATTATTGGAACTGGTTTTAAAGCATGATTGCAAATAAATTGAAATTAATTATCTTGCACTTACCGTACTTAGCATATTTTGCTAACCCGTAGTTCTTATTTGTTTTGGTTCGCCGTGTTTACCGTAATGGTAAGCAGTGTTATTTCAGGTGAAGTGAATAAAGTGATGCATTGGAGTCCCGAGATTTGGTTTCACTAAATTTCGAATGTTGGTTTTGTATCTATTTTGAGTATTCATAATATTGGTTACTATTTATAGTTATTATTAATAAGAAGAGTTTTGAAGTTTCCGCTGTAAAGTATTATTTTGTTTAGTAAGTTGAGTAGCCTTGCGTAATCACGCGGCGGTAATACGCCTAAGTCTATCTCTACGGTATAATTATACGTATTATGCTGGTATTTCCGTAGAGGGATATTTGGTGGTGTTACAAAGTGGCATCAGTTTTCAAGGTCCTAAAAAGATTAAAATTGGAATAGTAATTAAAATTGTGGGTAGACTTAAGGGGGCATATAGGATAGATAGTGTTTCGCATTTGTGTGTGAGTCAAAAGCCTTATTTTACTTAAAAACTATTTTCCTATTTGTGGAAAAAGATGAAGGAGAAAAGGATTCTTGAGTTCTCTACGGAGGCCTATAATGGGTACGACTCTCTGTCTAGGAAAGGCTCGCCTCAACGTCGCAGGTAACTTTCCTGGGAGACGCGGGTTCAACCGTCCTTTAATCTTAATTCAAGTACATAGTTATTATTCTCGAAAATAAAAAGGATTGAAATTATTTAAAACTTGAGTATGCGATTATGTGTGCATTAAAGTTGGTGTTAAAACACCTTGAAGTAAGTATAGGGGATCCCAAATTTTGGAGTATTACCCATGGTTGGGTGATTTTGAGTTATACTTGGTTTATTGAGTTATGAATTGCTTATTGCAAATGGATTTTGAATTGGATTGTTTGTGTGTGTTTAATTAATTGTTTTGCATGTGTGTGTGAAACGGATGGAAAATATTGATCAAATGAGACATCTATATTCTGACATTGATTACTTGAAAGATAGTGGAGTCTCAGTTAGTGAGTTCATGACTGGAATTTTTACTTTGGCCTTGACCCTTTATGAGAAGGATGGTGAGGAAGTCTTGACCTAACAACCTTGGATGGTCCTTTTGGCTTTGGCCCATTTACCTAGGATTAAGAAATACCAACCTCTCTTTGACAAATATGGGGATGTGATCAAGGAAGACGGAACGTGGAATGAGAAGCAACATCATGAAGGGAAATAGTTGTCAAGCATGTCTAGCCTTAAGAGGAACTTGTAATATGTGGAGCGCAAGTATGAACCTAGGAGGAAAGCTGTGAAAATTCCCACGATCCCAAAAGATCAAACCTTTTGACCTAATAACCAAATGAAGTTCTTAAATGCCCAAGTACCTTTTTCATACCCAAAGTAGCGACATGAGTATGTGGAATCTAGTGATGAGTCCATACCACCTCTTGGTAGGAGCAAGCATTACCGTTCTCTTAGCCATACTCCAAGCTATGAATCTTCAAAACAACCTAGCCCAAAATCCCATTTCCATGTTGCAAAAAGGCTTAGAATTTGTTCTCAAACTGCAAAAGAAAGAGCCTAAAACCCCAAAGCTTCTTCAAGCCAACCTCGTGGGGATGTAAGCCCAACAAAAAGCCCAAGTTACACTCTTGGCGCGGACAGAAACGTAAGTAAATCTGGGTCAAGCTCATCAGGCCTTATTCAAAGCGATAGTGGTTATAACCCAACTCTCATGGTCGAACCAAGTAATAGAAGTGATGATCCGGATTATGATCCTATTGAAGATGGTTATGCCCATAGTGTTATTTGATTGTCTTTTAACTATGTTTTTGTTTCATGTTTCAATAATTGTCCTAAACGACAAGTTGTATTTTCATTAATGAAATAAAATGAATTATATGAGATTTCTCTATGTTGTTAAGTGAATTAAATGCTTATATGATAAAACTTATCTTAATCCTCAAAGTGTGGTAATTAAACCCAGGAAGTATGTCTCCAAGAATGAGGGATCAATTAAGGAGTAAGCGCACTTGTTCCAAAGTTGGAAAGGTCCTTAAGAAATTAACCCATATTACTGAGAACATCACGAAAGTGGTGAAAAGGGAACACCGAAATCCCGAGCTTGATTCCTATAGTGAAGTCTTTAAGAGGGTAGCTCCAGCTAAACCATCTGTTTACTTGGGAAGGGAGGACCCAGCCAGCCTTGAAAACTAGATTAGGGAGTTTGACAAGCTGTTTGATGTTATCAATTGCCGAAGTGAGCTGAGGGTGAACAATGGGGTTTACTACTTGAGAGAGGAAGCTGACTTATGGTAGGCCCAAAGAAAGGATGAGTTGCTGAAAAAGCCAAGCTCTGGGTGGAATGAGTTTAACGAAGCCTTGAGAGAAAAGTTTTACCCTTCCTACCTAGAAAGCAAAAGTGCATGGAGTTTACCATTCTGAGAATGGGAAACATGTCAGTCAGTGAATACTACAGCAAGTTCATTGAGTTGATGAGGTTTTCCCTAGAAGTAGTTCCTACTGAAACCATCAAAGATCATATATTTGAGCAAGTCCTAACCTTGACCCTCCAAGGCAGCTAGGGGGAGTGACTTTTGAGACCCTAAATGAAGTCTATGGCCATGCAGCCCATATGTACGGAATTAAGGGGAGGGAGATGGAGCATGTGGGGGAGAAAAGGAAGAACCCAGACTCTTTTCATGGGGGTAAAAAGAGGCACAAGCCCAATGGGAATTACCAAGGGAATTCTGGAGACAGGAGGGACAACAAGGAAACATTGGGAAGGGGAATGGAGGCCAGTCGTCCAACCATAAGGGTAATAGGAACCAAGGGGTGAGAAACCCAAGAGGAGGTATTTCTGCAAGCGGTGTGAGAAAGATCACCTAGGGAAGGACTGTGAGGGAAACTTGGTAACTTGTCGTTACTGTCAGAAGTTGGGACGCCGTGAGTACGATTGTTTCAAGAAGGAAGCTAATGTTAAGTCTGGAAAGGTGAAAGAGTCTAGTGCACCTAGTAAACCACCTCAGCCTAGTGGACCCACAATCAAGGCTGGAACCAGTAGCGGTGCGAGAAGTACCGTAAAGGGTCGTGTGTTCGTGATGAATAGCCGTCAGGCTGAGTCTTCTAATGATGTGGTAATTGGTGTTTTATTTATAAGTTCTTTTCCTGTGAAAGTCTTGTTTGATTCAGGGGCGTCACATTCTTTTATTTCTAAGAAAGTAGTTGGGAGTCTCAGGTCAGAGAGTCTTGAGTCAGTTTCTCTAGATGTGTCTATTCCGTCCAGGGAAGTGAGGAGTTGTTCGAGATTGTTTTTGAGTGTGACTATTTCCATTTCTGGGGTAGAGTTTTTGGCCGATTTGATCGAGTTTCACTTGAATGACTTTGATGTGATTCTAGGTATGGATTGGTTGGGAAAGTATGAAGCAAAATTTGATTGTGCGGCTGAAAGGTCACCTTGACTAGCCCAAGTAAGACCAAAGTGGTGTATAAGAAGGAAGGGAAAATCTTAGGGTTGAGAATCGTGTCTGCAATGCAACTAGAGAAACTAATTAAGAAGGGTTGTCCTTTGTTTTTGTGTAGTGTTCAAGAGGTTGAAAGTGAGGAAAAGAAAGGTGAAGAGGGTATTCATGTTGTATAAGAGTTTCAAGATGTGTTTTCAGATGAGATTCCTGGTATGCCACCAGTTAGGGATGTGGAGTTCATTATCGACCTAGTGCCTGGAACTGTACCTATTTCTAAGGCTCCACATAGGATGGCTCCAGCTGAGTTGAGGGAGTTAAAGATCCAGTTAGATGATTTGTTGGAGAAAGGCTATATTAGGCCTAGTTCATCACCCTAGGGAGCTCTAATATTGTTTGTGAAGAAGAAAGATGGAAGCATGAGGTTTTGTATAGATTATCGAGAGTTGAATAAGGTGACAGTGAAGAATAAGTATCCTTTACTAAGGATCGATGATTTGTTTATCCAGTTGAAAGGAGAAGGGGTCTTCTCAAATATATATTTGAGATCGGGTTATCATTAGTTGAGAATTGCGGAGCAAGATATTGCAAAGAGTGCTTTCAGGACCCGTTATGGTCATTATGAGTTCACAATGATGTCATTGTGTTTGACCAATGCACCTGCAGTGTTCATGGATTTGATGCATAAAATTTTCAGGCAATACTTGGACAAGTTTGTGGTAGTGTTTATTGAGGATATTTTGTTCTATTCAAAGGATGAAGAAGAATATAAGGAGCATTTGAGACAAGTGTTGTCATGTTTGAGGGAGCATTAGTTGTATGCCAAGTTGTCTAAGTGTGAGTTTTGGTTAGAGGAAGTAGCATTTTTGGGCCATGTGATTTCCAAGGACGGAGTTGCAGTGGACCCAAGCAAGCTTCGAGCTGTGAGTGATTGGCCAACCCTAAAGAATGTATCGGATGTAAGGAATTTCTTGGGTTTAGCAGGCTATTACAAAAGGTTTGTGAAGGATTTTTCAAGGATCACGAAGCCCATGACAAGTTTGATAAAAAAGGAACATAAGTTTTTGTGGACTCCACAGTGTTAAGAGGCATTTAAGATCTTGAAAGAAAGGTTAATCACAACACCTGTGCTGGCTTTGCCGGATGGAAGTGATCTATATGACGTGTACTGTGATCCATTGAAGTTGGGATTGGGATGTGTGTTAATGCAAAATCGAAGAGTGATTGCCTATGCCTCGAGGCAGTTGAAGGTTCACGAAGGGAATTACCCAACCCACGATTTGGAGTTAGCTGCAATAGTGTTTGCCTTGAAGATTTGGAGACATTACTTGTATGGGGTGACTTGTAGGATTTTCATGGACCATAAGAGTTTGAAGTACATTTTCACCCAGACGCACTTGAATGGAAGGCAGAGACGATGGTTGGAGTATATGAGTGATTATACATTAGATATTCAGTATCATGAGGGAAAGGATAATACGGTGGCATATACTTTAAGCAGAAAATCAGAGCATACGATGAATGTGATGGTAGTACCAGATCAGTTGTGTGTGGAATTTCAGAAGTTAAACTTGGAGGTAGTGGGGGGTGGTGAAATGGCTATGATGTTGAATGCCTTGGTGGTTCAACCATCCAATTATTATGAGATAAGGGAAATTCAATTGGAAGATAAGAAGTTGAAGACAATAAAGAAGAAGATTGATGAAGGAGAAGTGTTGGATTTCACCATTGGTGATGAGGGAAGTATTCGATTTAAGGGAAGATGGTGTGTATCGCAGAATTGTGGTGATCTGAAACGACGATTGATGGAAGAAGCCCATAATTCTCCTTATTCAATGCATCCTAGAGGGGATAAGTTGTATAAGGACATGAAGAAGACTTTTTGGTGGCCCAATATGAAGAGAGAAGTGGCTGAATTTGTGGCTAAGTGTTTGACATGTCAGAAGGTGAAGATTGAGCATCTTAGACCTCAAGGAAAGGTCCAATCCTTGGAGGTGCCCAAGTGGAAATGGGATTCGATTTCTATGGATTTTGTGGCAGCCTTGCCAAAGAACAAGGCAGGGAATGACACTATTTGGGTAATAGTGGATAGGTTGACGAAGTCAGTAGCGTTCATACCCATGAGAAGTACTTGGACCATGGATCAGTTGGGAAGAGAATATGCGAAGTTTGTGGTGAAGTACCATGGGGTACCCACGAATATCATTTTGGATAGAGATTCAAGATTTTTGTCTAACTTTTGGCAAAGTTTGCAAAAGGCAATGGGAACTAAGTTGTTAATGAGCACATCATTTCACCCAGCGATAAATGGTCAAACGGAAAGAACGATTCAGACATTGGAGAACATGTTGAGAGCTTGTGTGATGGAGTATCAAGGGTCTTGGGAAGACCGCCTAGATTTGATAGAGTTCTCTTACAACAACAGTTACCACGCAAGCATTGGAATGGCACCGTTTGAGGCATTGTATGGTCGGAAGTGAAGAAGCCCAGTGTGTTGGAATGATATAAGTGAGACTATGGTTCTTGGACCAGATATGATTGAGGATATGGTGAAGCAGGTCAAGTTGATCCAAGAAAAGATTAAAGGAGCTCAAGATCGACATAAAAGTTATGCTGATTTGAAAAGGAGGGAAGAGGAATATGAAGTGGGAGAGAAAGTTTTGTTGAAAATTTCACCCATGAAAGGTGTGATGAGGTTTGGGAAGAAAGGAAAATTAAGCCCAAAGTACATAGGGCTTATGAGATCATTGAGAAAGTGGGGAAGTGGCTTATGAGTTGGATTTGCCTAGTGAGCTAGAAAGGGTTCACAATGTGTTCCATGTGAGCCAAATTCGAAAGTATATTCCTGATGTGATGACAGGGTAAAGTCGTATCCCCTAATCAAAAGTAATTACCTAAGTCCTCTAACTAAAGTAGATAGGGAAGTAGGGTCGAACTCCACAGGGAAACAAGTCTTTCTACTCCTAATTCATTATTATAATCTAAATTATCAAAGTAACCAATTTTGTTGTAAATAAATTCTATACTACAAAGAATAAGGTCGAAAGAAATAAAGTAGGGGAAAATCAAATATTAAAAGACCTAGGGCATAGGTTCACTAATAAACAATATTCCAGGGCAAATCATAATAAGCAATCATCAAGCATTGATTAATCAGATAATAAAGGGCTTTCGCTACGTATTATAATCACAAAGTTAATTTACCGGTATTAAATCTCATCTGTCGAATCTCGACTTAACCATTTATAAATTAATCCGCCCATTGAAACTAAGCCTAAACATCAATTCTCATCTGTCGAATCTCAAATTAATATTACAAAACTCATACAATTAAATCTGGCCAAACCTAATTGCATAGCATTAAATCAGTCAATAGGAAATTTACCAAGCATTGATAATTAACAATCACAAAATTACCCCTTCATATCATTTGTTAGATCCCCATAAACCCTAGAAATAAAACTACTCAAGCATCATCATAACTAAACTAATCAAATAAATAAATAAAAGAATAATCAAATAAGTAAATAAAATAGCTGAAATTAAAAGAGAAGAAATTGTTACCAAAAGAAATCTGGATTAATGAAAGTAATTAAACAAAAGTTGAAAGAGAATTTAAGAGAGAGAAATATCCTAAGTAGAGAGAGAAAATCTAAAGAAGAAGGTAATCCAAAATTACGTACATAATTCGTACTTAAACATTACTCAAAACAAAAATTAAAACTAATCTAATCAGCTCTGAGAAAAACACATGCCCGATCGGGCCCGCCTTTTTGCCTTGCCCGCTACTGCTGTGCCGCGCCCGATCGAGCTTACGCTCACCCGATTGGGCGCGGCTTTTCTTTGAGGGTCCTTATGCGCGCAGCCGCCCGATCGGGCGTATGCTTGCCCGATCGGGCCCGGTCTTCTTCTTTGAGGATTGGATTTCGATTGGGCTCAATTCCTCGGCCCAATCTAAGTTTCCTCGTCGGGTCTTGATTAATCGATCCAATAGCCCCGGTATCTCATACCGAGCCCTTAATCATCGGCTCTCACCGATCCTGGGCTTCAAGAGTGGCCGTGTCCTTCTTGCTTCCGTTTCCGTAGTTGATCCATAAAAACCCGGGAAAATGCTCCAAAAGTGCAACTTCCTGAAAAATACAACTAAAACTACGAAAACACTAGAAAACACAAATTAGTAATAAAAGTGGCCCTAAAGAGCCAAAAACACTACTAATTATGACCGCGGGACGGGGGTAAAACGCTATATAAATTGGACATATCAAACTCCCCCAAGCCAAACCTTTGCTTGTCCCTAAGAAAAGAGCTCATCAACGAACATATAAAACATGCCTCATCCCAATAAACAAAATCAAGCACAAATGATTCAAGATAAATCTAATGAACATGCTTCAATGTCAATCAATCTCATATATCTAATTATCATTCATCCCCAACAATTGTCAAGTAAAGCAAACCACATGAGCATATAGAATTCAAGACTAGTGCTCACGCACTCAACTCTCATTTATATGGCGAGTAAAAGATGTACTCGATCGCTCTCCAACCAACCCCTTTATTTGTAAACAGTACCCACCCATCTCACACTCTCATGTGTTTAAAACAATGAACGCTCAACCTACTAGTCGACTCGAAATATGTCAAATCATAACTTGCATTGATAATCAACACTTTCACATTCACACAACTCTATGCACAAAGGTCAGAAGGTCTTTAAAGCTTGTAATGTAAGGAAAGGGTAAAGGGTAGGATACGTTTGGGAATATGTGAGAGAAAAGCTATGCATTAAGGGAGCCAAATCCTAATAAACCCATGATCAAAATAAATGATGATCATACATCTCCAACAACATAACTAACTCCAACAAGAATCCACCAAATACAACTCCAAACAATATAAACAATCCCAACACTTACAATTTCACACATAAGAATATAATAATATGGAATAGAGTGAATTGAAACAAACTTTGAACCACTTATTCTTTTTCTTTTCTTTTTTTTTCAAACTTGAACTCTTTTTTTCTTTTGAATTTTTTTCTTTTTTTTGAACAACCTTCAAATAGAACATTTGAACATATGAAACAACTTTTTTTTTCTTTGCTCTTTTTTTTTTCTTTTTAACTCATATTGAAAATTTCAACTTTGTAACACAATATATCAATATTTTCCAATCATAAAATCAAAGAACAATTACTTTTCTTTTATTCCCACATTGTGCTAATAATGTGCACACCACAACTCCCTCACCTCACCAACTAATAGCTCCCCCAAGCCAAGCTTGGGACTAGTAACCAATGGGGCTCATATAGGCTTGTAATGTGGCTAAATAAACAATAAAAGGGCACAAGCAACAACATGGGTAACAAGAAGGGAACAAA